TTATTTTATTGAGTGCCTACCACAATAGTTAAAATTAAAATTTTACCTAAAATTGAAAAGAAGATAAAAAATCATAAAACAAAAAATTTTAAAGTAAAAAAATTCTAAAAATATTATATGTTTGATTGATCTTTTGTTGGGCAATGATGTGTAATTTATTATTTTTATATTAAAATATTTGAAATTGGTGTATTTTTTTACAAGTATTTAAGTATATTTATAGTTTTTTTATATAAATTGTAGATTTACATATACTTACCGGGTCATGCAGTTGAACAAGTGATTCACTGGTTGAATCAGTGACCCAGTACCTCGACCGGGTCAATAATCGGGCCGGGTTTAATAACATTGCCCCAAATTGGGGGGAACTTTAATTTTAAGAAGAAAGAGGGTTTTGTAGGGTTTAGTAAAAATCCCCAATTTTTTTTCCCTCCTTTTTTTTTAACTCCCAGACAAGGGAAGAACTTACTAAAACCTTCCATTTCCTTTCCATTCCCTCCTAAAACCAACTCCCAAACAAAGCCTAGAAGGACAAACCTTTTTTTCCTACTTTTAAATGTGTTTATTTGGTTCAATTGAGCCCACATTTTGAAATAGATCAACTAATTATTTTTGTGATAAAGTTTAGAAGTTTATCTTTTTAAAAATAATAGGAGTAAGAATAAATAACATAAGTGATTACAATAAAGCAGAAAAAAATATACATGATAAAAAATAAAAAAAGGTAAAACACAAAAAAAATTATATTATACACGTTCCTTATTATTTGTTTGCGTTATTTTGTATAGAAGATTTGATTTTCTATTTAGATTTATATTTAAATTTAAATTTAGATTTGTTGTTATTTTATAATTTTTACTTTTAGTTAATTATAATTAATTATATAAGAACCGAGTGCCTCTTTTAAGTTCTAATCTGTATAGCGCAAACCGAGTCGCGTCGCCTTAACGCATCGCCACGGAGGACCAAACTCACACTACCAAACTCTTATTTATACATGAATAATTTTAATTTTTCAATTTTTTTGTCCTTTAAAAAATGTATTTCCAAAGATGAAAACAATTATTAGTCCTCACAATAACCCATGCAGAAAGCAGTGGGTCATTAATACATCTGTCTTCCACCATATAATTTGAATCATTTTCCCACTCATGATTTTGAAAATTCAAATTTTAAAAATTTTGTAAAGAAGAAACATTTCAAAAATTTTCAAATGTAAACACAAACCTGAGAATAAAGGAGAGAGTGACACATCAACAAAGTTGCCAAAGTTTGGATGAAGATTTTATATATTAAGATAGATAGACATTATTTTATTGAGTGCCTACCACAATAGTTAAAATTAAAATTTTACCTAAAATTGAAAAGAAGATAAAAAATCATAAAACAAAAAATTTTAAAGTAAAAAAATTCTAAAAAAATTATATGTTTGATTGATCTTTTGTTGGGCAATGATGTGTAATTTATTATTTTTATATTAAAATATTTGAAATTGGTGTATTTTTTTACAAGTATTTAAGTATATTTATAGTTTTTTTAATATAAATTGTAGATTTACATATACTTACCGGGTCATGCAGTTGAACAAGTGATTCACTGGTTGAATCAGTGACCCAGTACCTCGACCGGGTCAATAATCGGGCCGGGTTTAATAACATTGCCCCAAATTGGGGGGAACTTTAATTTTAAGAAGAAAGAGGGTTTTGTAGGGTTTAGTAAAAATCCCCAATTTTTTTTCCCTCCTTTTTTTTTAACTCCCAGACAAGGGAAGAACTTACTAAAACCTTCCATTTCCTTTCCATTCCCTCCTAAAACCAACTCCCAAACAAAGCCTAGAAGGACAAACCTTTTTTTCCTACTTTTAAATGTGTTTATTTGGTTTAATTGAGCCCACATTTTGAAATAGATCAACTAATTATTTTTGTGATAAAGTTTAGAAGTTTATCTTTTTAAAAATAATAGGAGTAAGAATAAATAACATAAGTGATTACAATAAAGCAGAAAAAAATATACATGATAAAAAATAAAAAAAGGTAAAACACAAAAAAAATTATATTATACACGTTCCTTATTATTTGTTTGCGTTATTTTGTATAGAAGATTTGATTTTCTATTTAGATTTATATTTAAATTTAAATTTAGATTTGTTGCTATTTTATAATTTTTACTTTTAGTTAATTATAATTAATTATATAAGAACCGAGTGCCTCTTTTAAGTTCTAATCCGTATAGCGCAAACCGAGTCGCGTCGCCTTAACGCATCGCCACGGAGGACCAAACTCACACTACCAAACTCTTATTTATACATGAATAATTTTAATTTTTCAATTTTTTTGTCCTTTAAAAAATGTATTTCCAAAGATGAAAACAATTATTAGTCCTCACAATAACCCATGCAGAAAGCAGTGGGTCATTAATACATCTGTCTTCCACCATATAATTTGAATCATTTTCCCACTCATGATTTTGAAAATTCAAATTTTAAAAATTTTGTAAAGAAGAAACATTTCAAATTTTTTCAAATGTAAACACAAACCTGAGAATAAAGGAGAGAGTGACACATCAACAAAGTTGTCAAAGTTTGGATGAAGATTTTATATATTAAGATAGATAGACATTATTTTATTGGGTGCCTACCATAATAGTTAAAATTAAAATTTTACCTAAAATTGAAAAGTTGATAAAAAATCATAAGACAAAAAATTTTAAAGTAAAAAAATTATAAAAAAATTATATGTTTGATTGATCTTTTGTTGGACAATGATGTGTAATTTATTATTTTTATATTAAAATATTTGAAATTGGTATATTTTTTTACAAGTATTTAAGTATATTTATAGTTTTTTTAATATAAATTGTAGATTTACATATACTTACCGGGTCATGCAGTTGAACAAGTGATCTATTGGTTGAATCAGAGACCCAGTACCTCGACCGGGTCAATAATCGGGCCGGGTTTAATAACATTGCCCCAAATTAGGGGAACTTTAATTTTATGAAGAAAGAGGGTTTTGTAGGGTTTAGTAAAAATCCCCAATTTCTTCCCCTCCTTTTTTTTAACTCCCAAACAAGGTAAGAACTTACTAAAACCTTTCATTTCCTTTCCATTCCCTCCTAAAACCAACTCCCAAACAAAGCCTAGAAGGACAAACCTTTTTTTCCTACTTTTAAATGTGTTTATTTGGTTTAATTGGGCCCATATTTTGAAATAGGTCAACTAATTATTTTTGTGATTAAATTTAGAAGTTTTTCTTTTTTAAAATAATAGGAGTAAGAATAAATAACATAACTGATTACAATAAAGCAGAAAAAAATATACAGGATAAAAAATAAAAAAAGGTAAAACACAAAAAAAACTATATTATACATGTTCCTTATTATTTGTTTGCATTTAGATGATTTGTTGTTATTTTGTATAGAAGATTTGATTTTCTATTTAGATTTAGATTTGTTGTTATTTTATAATTTTTACTTTTAGTTAATTATAATTAATTATATAAGAACCGAGTGCCTCTTTTAAGTTCTAATCCGTATAGCGCAAACCGAGTCGCGTCGCCTTAACGCATCGCCATGGAGGACCAAACTCACACTACCAAACTTTTATTTATACATGAATAATTTTAATTTTTCAATTTTTTTGTCCTTTAAAAAATGTATTTCCGAAGATGAAAACAATTATTAGTCCTCACAATAACCCATGCAGAAAGCAGTTGGTCATTAATACATCTGTCTTCCACCATATAATTTGAACCATTTTCCCACTCATGATTTTGAAAATTCAAATTTTAAAAATTTTGTAAAAAAGAAACATTTCAAATTTTTTCAAGTGTAAACACAAACCTGAGAATAAAGGAAAGAGTGACACGTCAAAAAAGTTGCCAAAGTTTGGATGGAGATTTTATACAGGGGTGGCAATTTGGGTTGGCCCATCCCGCCCCCCACCAATACGCCAAAAACAGGGCGGGGCGGGTTGGCCCGTCATTAAATATGGGTTGAAAAAATGAACTCACCGTTTTATGGTGGGTTGACGGGTTGACCCTCCAACCCGCCAATTAAAAAAAATTAATTAAAATTCAAAAATAAATTATATTTTATAAATTTTTCTAATATTATTTTATTTTATTTTACACTTCTCTTATTATTTTTTTCAGTCTCAATCTTAAATGTATACTAATATTTGTTAAACATTCTTTAGGAACTCATTTATCTCCATTTATAGATAACATTTGTCATAAATAAGATTGTTATTCTTTATTTTTTCTAGGAAGTACTAAGATAAAAAAAAAATTAGATATCACAAAAATTTAATTAGAAATGAAATATTACCTAATTGTAAAAATAAAATAAAAAAATAAAATTATAACCCGACGAGTTGAACCCGTTTTGACCCACTTCTAGGCGGGGCGGTTTGAAGTGGGTTGGTGGGTTGAAAACTTCAACCCAACCCACCCCATTTTGGCGGGTTGATCCGTCGGGCTCAACCAATATTTCCACCTCTAATTTTATATATTAAGATAGATAGACATTATTTTATTGGGTGCCTACCGTAATAGTTAAAAAAATTTGAAATTTTACATTGAAAAAGGATAAAAAATTACAAAACAAAAAAATTTAAAGTAAAAAAATCATAAAAATATTTGGAATTTTTTTATTAAAAAAAATCATAAAATTATAAAAATACAGATTTAAAATTTTAAATCGAAATTAATACAGATTTAAAATTTTCAATCAGAATTAAAATCGAAATTAGTACAGATTTAAAATTTTCAATCAGAATTAAAATCGAAATTACTACAGATTTAAAATTTTCAATCAGAATTAAAATCGAAATTAATACAGATTTAAAATTTTCAATCAGAATTAAAATCGAAATTTTAAGTATGATATCTTACCGTATCTGCACATAATTTTTTTTATTACCGCGTTAATAAAAAAAAAAACAAAACATATATATAAGTATATAACTTGATCGTTGTTCCTACACGAAGTTGCTAACCCTCTTCTCTTATAGACCTAGTACGTGTTTGTGTTTCATATTCAGATACCGCGAAGCAAACCGAGTTAACTCCATGGAGGACCAAACTCACGCTACCAACAAAGATCCCTTCCTCCTGAATTACAACCCTTCTGAACGCCGAATTGCTTCTGAGTTTTTGGGTACATGGCTTCCCTTCCTTTCCCGAGATCTCTGCACCAACTGCGCCCAATCGCTCTCCGATCGCATCCGCTCCATCGACCCTCACCCAGGTAACATCAACCCCCAAAAACTTGTAATTCTTTTGAAATTTTTGATTTTTTTAACTGGTTCTTGATTTTCTTGGATTTCACCCATCGAAATTAATTTCACACTGTTTCGTTGCATTTGCATGTGCAGAGTCTCAAAGCCTAGGAGATGATGTTTCGAACGTGCAACCACAGGAGATGAGTGACGGCGTTGAAGATAACTGTGACGCGCATTCTCTTGGTAGTTGGAATGATGGGGCAGAGGCGAATTCGAATTTCGAGACTCCTCGAATGTCTTGGGCTGATATGGCGCAGGAAGATGATGATTTCGATGAAGTAGTTCATGAACAAAAGAATAAAAAATTTAATGTTGTGGTGGCTGCTTCAAATTCAAATTCAAATTCTTCAGAAGCAATCCAAGTTGTTGCTGAGAAGCCTACATTGCCTAGGGAGCAGAGGGAGTACATTAGGTTTATGGACGTGAGGCGTAAGAAGGATTTCAAATGTTTTGAGAGGGTTCATGGGAAGCTCGTTAACATCCTCGAAGGACTGGAACTCCACACGGGTATTTATTAATAGCACGCTATTGCGCCGTAGCGACCCCATGGCCAATTGCTCCCCTACTAACAAGTTAGGGGTAAATCTAAGAACTAGGAGAGAGAGATGAGATTGGAAGGCTGTTCCTTCATGTGTGTGTTACTGTGAGAGATTTATGTCAATAAAAATAGATGTTATGATGTAGTAAAATTAAAAGAGAAAAGAGAAAAACATTGAAAGTAATGTTATTCAATTTAAATAAATTCAATCAAATGGAGTTTTTTGGTTTTGTTATCATGCACAATTATCAATTGTGCTGCAATTGCGCGCAATCCCACGACGGTAGTGGACGGTGGCCGCTACTTGTCGTGCTGCAATGCAACAAGATGTTGCGGCTGCAATTGTGGACAAATTGCAGCCTTTCACAGTGCAAGTGAAATGGCGTGATTTTTCAAGTTTACCCTCGATTAAAATTTCCAACAGCCATTTTTCATGGGCTTTATGGTCTTTTTACCGGTTTGTTTAAAATTCTAT